GGTCTCGGTGGGGGGGGGGGGGGGGGGGGAGCGGGGGAGAGCGGGGAGCCAGGAGGAAGCTGTCACCTGTGTATGGGTTCCCAGGTCTGCTATAACAAATTACTGTAAACTGAGCGGCTTAAAGCAACGAAGATTAACTCCTTCAAGGTCTGGAGGCTTGGAAGTCCAAAGTCAGGGTGTCCCAGGACCTAGGAGGCTCCATCGGAGGATCCTTCCTGAGTTTCTTGCAGCTCCTGGCGTCTGCTGGCACCTTTGACGGGACTTGACTTGCACTTGTGTCCCTCTGATCTCGGCCGCTGTTCGCACAGGGTGTGTCCTCCACGTCTCTGCAGCTTTGCCTGTTCTCTTTGGTCACATCGATTTAGGACCCACCCTCGGGACTTTAACTTAATTACAGCTGCTTGGGCCCTGTTTCTGAATTGGCTTTTCATAGGTTCATGTATAGGTTCTGGTGGACATGGGTTTTCGGGGTAAAAGCCATGGCACCTGTTTCGTCGTCAGCAGGGCCATCCCCTCTGCGGTGGCTGGAAGTGCGTGGCCCAGGCCAGCCCAGACGGAAGGGGAGAGGGAATCAGCCTCTGTCTTTGTCAGAAACCTGAGGTCACATTGTCACCCGCCAAATGTGTGTGGTTATAAATAACCTTTACGCAGCCAGCAGTGAAATGCTATTTTCTTTTTAGATTTATATGTGTGTATGTATAAAATAAGTGTTTAGGAAGCCCCAGTAGAAAGAGGCCTTCAGGTTCTAGCTTTTGGCAAAAGCTAACGGAGAGTCGCTGGTGCAGGTCTGCCCTAGTGTCTCAGGACAGCACAGGATGTTTTATTCATTCTTTTACCTGGTTGTCGGAAGGCAGATCAGTCCTTTTGGGTCTGAAGACTTGATGAGATCTCGGGTCCTCTCCTGGCCCCTGGCTGCCGCAAAGCTGCACAGTGGCCCTGGAGGCATGTGAGGGGCACATGGCCTCCTCTCTGAATGCCTGGGGAAAGAATCAGAAGACCCTGAGTGACTTAGTAGCACTTCATCCAGGGAACACCCAGCTTCCTGCTACTGTGTTCATTTTTGCTTGCTACCAGTTGGGAGTCAGGAGTAGCTTCATTTTGTACAATTTTACTTGTGACATTCATGCAAGGCTGGTTTCTTGCAGCCATTTATCTGATGTTGAAATTTAGGCTTTTCATTTGCTGTTAAAATATGTAAATGAAAAAAAAACATGTGAGTGAGCAGTGCAGTCAGTAGTGCAAAGCGAATCGTTTGAGTACCATTTCATTTGTAATGGAAATACAGTACCGTCCTGAAGGGCAGCCGTGGCCTAAAAAAAAAAGATGGCCGAGTGGGAGACGAGAGGAGGGGATGATATGTTAATTCATCTGTGTCCAGAAGAGAAAAGCTTACAGGCGGAGGCAGCCGGGAAGGTGGAGGGAGAACAGGCCTGCCCTTCACCTAGCCTCACCTTCCTCACTCACCTGTGTGACCTGCGTCTGCTTTGAGGTGGCTTCGGTGAGCTTCCACGTTTCTTCTTTCTTGCCTGGTAGGTAACTTGGTGCGTGAGGAGACTCCCCAGCCTTATTGGAGGGGGTGCGGCATGAAATCGCTGTCCTTCAGAGGGCTTTCCTGCTGTCAGCGTTTCCCGTGCTTCAGAGGGCTTTCCTGTTGTCAGCGTTTCCCTGGCTGCTGGGCGGGGAAAGCAAGGAGAGCTGAGATGGTTTGTGCCGTGGGTTCTCATGTGGCCATGGGCCTGGGCTGGGGGCTGCTCCCTTCGGCGTGGGTTCCTGTGGGTGATTCCCAGGAAGATTCTGCCCCTTCCAAAGGACGTGACTACAATTAAGCAGCTTGGTCATTTGTCCTGGCTTAGAGTGCTTTCACACAAGAACACGCTTAAGGTGCCGACGGGGAGACAGGTGTGGCCTTTGGGATGGAGGTACAGGCTGCGCCCTGAGAGGTCGCTGGCTGGCTCCAGGGCCCTGCAGCATGGCCGGGGCTGGCCCAGGCTGCTGGCTCCACCACTGCCTGCCCGGCAGCAGACACGGCTCTGGGGTTCCAGTTTCTCGGCTCCGGGTCGGCTTTCCTTGTGCACCTGAGAGCGAGGCGATTTTCTTCTGCAGACACGCTTTCTCGTTTGTTTTTGTTTTGGAGGGCCAGAGCAGATCACTGTTGTTTCTTTGCTTTTTATCACCTCTTCGCCCTGTGACTGATGGAAGAATCGAGGCTTCTAGAAAAGCGTTTCTGTTTTTATCCCCATTCATTTTCTAAATGTGTTCAGTTCTGTCTGTCTGCTCAGGATGCTGCGGGGCGCTGGCCTTGTGCCCCGTCGGGACCAGGCTGTGCCCGTTGTCTGTGCATTTCCCATCGGGTGCTGTGGAGAGAGGAGTAAATGGGTCTGTTGGAGTCGGTCATAGACAGAAGTCACTCCAGCTGTTTGATGCAAAAACGATTTGGTACAGGAAAGTAGATGCCGAGGGGATGGTGGGAAGGGCCTGGGGGAGCAAGCTTGCTGGGATGGCTCACCTGTCAGGACCAGCCCCAGGGCCAGACCCGGAGGTTGAACTGGGAGGCTGTGCAGGGGCCTTCACTCAGACGCAGGGCCACCACACTCCTTGCTCCATTCTGCACCTCCAGCCTCTAACCCCGTCAGCATTCCAGCCTCCAGGGAGTGTATCTGATTGGATCTAAGTCCCACTGGGAAGGAGTCTGGAAAATGTCCTTTAGCTTCCGAGCCTCCTCAGGAAGGCACAGCAAAGGCTGTGTGCCACCAATACCGACCTGCGTCCGCCCCCAGGCATGAGGGAGGGGTGCCCAAGTGCTGTGGGGGTCACAGGAGAGTGTCCTCCACCGAGACACCTGGAAGCCAGGTGAATGTCCCTGAGGGTGTCGGGAGGTGGGAGCAGCACCCCGTGGCTGGGTGTGAGGCTGGTTTTTATCTCCATTACTTTTCTGTTTTTATCCCCATTAATTTTAGGAACATATAGGGAGTACACAGGAGCACAGGGCCCTTTCACACAGGATCTTTTAAGCCACTTACAGTTTGGACTTGAGCTGGAGGACAGGGGACCCATCATAGGGTTTAATCTGTGGATCAAGGTCATCAGATCGGGTCTGGGGGGTTTAAAAGGTGGGCCCTGGCCCTGGGGAGTGTCCTTGGGGCGGGGAGCAGGGCAGAGAGAAGGCAGCTCTTGAAATATTTGAAGCAAAAATTATGTGCTGAGTTGCGGTAAGAGTGGAATGAATTCTGCAAAGTGAGCAGATTCGAGAGGCAACCAGCAGGACAGGCCTGGGTGACAGGTGCAACATGGAGAAGGGGAGAGAGAGGCTGCTATAAATAAATGCTTGGCTCTTCTCTGCTGCTGGGACTCTCTCTGTCCTCCCTTCTTACTCTTCCGGGCCTGAGCTGTCCCTGCCAGCCTGTGGCTGCTGAGCACTGGAAATGTCCCAATTGGGATGTGCTGTAATGTGAATAGGTTTGAAGGCTTAGTATGAATAGAAAAGCAAAATATCTCATGAATACTGTTCTATGTTGGTTACATCCGAGATCAGCCATTTAAGTTCCTTTTCTTTTTCTGTTTGTTTCAGCTCTGGTATTCAGAGGGAAGGAGGCTTTGATTGCTGGGTGAGGTGGAAGTTTAAGCGTACAGTTCATGTTGTTGGACAAAAGATCGCTGGATAGTTTTTATCTTGCAACACTAGGACTCCATGCTCATTCAACCCTAACTCCCCTCCCCGCACCCTCAGCCCTTGGCAACTGTCCGCTTTTCTACTTTCTGTTTCTCCGATTTTGACTGCTTTACATCCTTCCTCTGAGCGGAATCCTGTAGCATTTGTCCTCTTGTGACTGGATTGTTTTGCTTGACATTCTGTCCGCCAGGTTCATCCCTGCTGCAGCACGGGCAGTCTGTCTGAAAGGCTGCATAACGGTCTGCTGCGTGCACATCTTCTTCACCATCGGGGACAGGAGACGGCTGCAGCGCTGACGCCTGTGAATAGTGCTGCTGTGAAACATGGGCTGCAGATACCACCTCGAGATCTTGCTTTGAGTTCTTCCAGACAAATTCCCGGAGTGGGGATGCTGGGTTACGTGCTCATCTTTTGTCTTTTTAGCTGGACGGGTACAAGCTTTTTCTGAGAGGAGCAGGAGCTGCACGCTGTGTAAATCGGATTCCTGGCTGTGCGAATCCTCCTGTCACCGCGGGTTCTCTTCTCTCTGCAGCCCGCATAGAATATTTTTTGTTGGTGTAGAATATATATAAAGACCCCTCTTGGTAACCTCTCCCTGAGAGAATAATTATCCTATAGACCAGTGGTTCTCAACCTTCTGGCCCTTTAAATACAGTTCCTCATGTTGTGACCCAACCATAAAATTATTTTCGTTGCTACTTCATAACTGTCATGTTGCTACTGTTATGAATCGGAATGGAAATATCTGATATGCAGGATGGTCTTAGGCGACCTCTGTGAAAGGGTCGTTCGACCGCCAAAGGGGTCGCCACCCACAGGTTGAGAACCCCTGCTATATAATAAAAGTCTAATAAGCAAATTGTCCCCTTGACAGGGAGATTGACCAGGGGGCGGGGGCGGCAGGTGGCTGGGGGAAGGAAGGGCCCGCCCAGCCGGCAGCCACTAGGATTTCATGCACTGGGCCTCTAGTACGGTGTGTTATCACTGTGACTTCTCCCCTGTTATACCAGGAAATGTGCCTTTGCTCGGGTCTCCCAGAATAAACACCAGATTAGCCTGGCCGGATTTCATTTCTGGTGCACACCCCTGTATTCACAAACACCTGACTCCCGGAAACTCTGTGCAGGCCAGAGGACTACTTTGTGTGTTTAGATCCGGAGGGCAGTGGCTGAGCAGAGAGGTCCAGGGGAAGGCCAGAGGCACAGAACGGGGAGGCGGTGTGGTTGGCATCATCACCGGGAACCAGAAATGGGACAGAAACGTGTCTCCGAGTTACGGGCGGCGTTTTCCAAGCTTCGTTGATTAGGACACAGGAGGAAGCTTTCCCGGTGGCCCCGCGCACAGTGTGAGGTGCTCCGGTGTGTAATGTTCCAGTCCAGCCCTCTTCAGGTTTTTGTTCGCCGCTAGTGCTGGGCGCAGTCCACTGGATTGGTGTCCTGCTCGAGGCTTAGACCCAGTTCGGCAGGTAGTGATGGAGTGCTCGCTCCCGGAGCTGGCGCTGGGACTCAGGTGTGGCTTTGCGTGCTGGCTGTTGGGAGAGCCGCGGGGCTGGGGCTTCCTAAGCAGCCTGTGCCTCAGAGGGGGAGCACCTGCCCGCTCAGCAGCCCCGGCAGCCTGGCAGCCGGCGTGAGGAGAAGGGAGCACCTGGGTGTGGAGCCTCCGCAGACCTGCTGGGAGGCCCTCACTCGGCGCGCGCAGGCTGCTGTCCCGCTCAGCTGCACACTCATTTCTCCTTCTTGGTGCTGCTTTTACATTGTTGTCCTGAGTCCTGTGCGGCCTTTTCCCTGTTCTGTTGTCAGCGTTCCCAAATGTGTGTCACTAGCTGGGTGTGACCCCGCACTCCCCAGGCTTGCCGACCGTGGATAGAAGGAAGCGGCCAGAGGTTACGTTAAAATGACGCAGAGTGCTGAGCTGGAGGAGTGGTCCCCAAGTTTCCTTCTCTTCGCTCTGTTAGCCGGCCTGGCATTCAGAGTTTGACTTCTGTACCCAGGCTCCTCCAGACAAAAAGCCAGAGTTGGGAATCAGCCAGTGCGGCAGGGGCCTTGCGCAGAGGAGGGGCCGGTCCTGGAACTCCGCCAGGGCCAGGGACCGGTTCCTCTTCCTCCGGGCACAGCTGGTGTTGGGCGGGCAGGTCTCTGTGTGCGACTTCCTTTTCTGACTGTGGGCCTCAGATAATCAGAGCTGTCCACCCCGGGCCTGCCCTCCTGACCTCCGCGTTGGGTGGGGG